GTTGATTCTTGAAAATAACCATTCTTTCTGAAGTGAGATGCAGTCTCAACATTAATTTAATTTGCAACTCTTGAATAGCCAGTAATAAACATTTTCTCATTTATTTAGCTGCTAGTTCTAGTTCTTCATCTGCAAAGTGTCTATTCATTTCAGATGTCCATTTTTGTATTGAGTTTCTAAAGTTAGGTTTCTGTTTTTTTTTTTTTCCTTTATATATTCTAGATTTTAGTCTTAGAAACAGCTGGCAAAAATTCTTTCCCACATGTAGTTGTCTCTTCACTCTGTGATTTCTTTGATGTGCAAAAGCTTTTAAATGAGATCCTAGTTGTTGATTATTTGTAATATTTCCAGTATGATGGGGTTTTGTTTATGAAGTTTTTACTATAACAGTGTTTTCAAGAATTCTACCTATTCTGTCTTCTAGAAGATTCAGTATTTCTTTTTTATTATTTAGATTTTTTGACCTATTTTAATTTTAGTATAGTGAATGGTGAGATATGGGGCTAGATTTTAGTTTTTAGCAGGTGGAAAGCCAGTTTTTCCAGTACAGTTTATTAGAAAGGCTATCTTTCTTCCAGTGCAGGTTTTTTGTTTGTTTGTTTGTTTGCTTGTTTGTTTGTTTTGTTTAGGTCAAAGATAAGATGGCTGAATGTGTTTGACATTGTTGTATGTTCTGATCTGTTCGATTAATCCTCAGGTTTGCTTTTTTAAATTTCTTATGGCATCCACTGCCTTGCCTTTGTTGCCCAAAATAACTTGGCTGGTCTAGGTTTCAGGTGGTTCCAAGTGAATTATAATTTTTTTCTATAATTCTATTAGGTATGTTATTGGTGTTTTGATTAAGATTGCATTTAATCTATCTAACAATTTTGGAAGGATGTTCACTTTCATTGTATTGTTTCTTCCTATCAAACAATAAGGAATACCTTTCATTTTTCTGATATCTTATTTTCATTCTTTTTTCTAAAGTACTGTATATTTTAATGAAAATTTCTTTTACTCTTTTGCTGAATTAATTCCTAGATATTTCATTTCTTTTGGCTAGGTATTGAAAGGTATTGGCTTTCTAATTTCTCTCTCAATGAGTTTATTACTTGTGTACAGGAATGCTATAGATTTTTGAGTGTGGGATTATATCCAGCTGCATACCTTGATTTGGTTTTTAATGTAGAAGTCTTTTAATTTAGTTTTTGGTCTTATCTATGTAGAGAATTATACCATCCAGAAATAATAATTTAGCTTCTTCTTTGCCTATTATTATTTTATAATTTTCTTTTTCTTGCTTAATTCCTCTGGATAATGCTACCACAGCTATTTTGGATAAGAGCAGTGATAATGGACATTCTTATCTTTTTCCTGATTTTAAAGTGAAAGCTTCCAGTTTTTAACTATTTAGTGTGATGTTGGCTGTTGATTTGTCACAGATGTATTTTATCATTTTGTGGAGATTCCTTAAAAAGCTAGAATTGGAGATTCCATTCAAGCCAGCTATTCCTCTCCTGGGTATTTTTTCGGAAGAACTGAAAACCTCATACCACAGCGATATAGGTGCACCTTTGTATATAACAGCACAATTTGTTATAGCTAAATCCTGGAAACAACCCAGATGTTCATCAACTGAAGAATGGATAAGGAAGATGTGGTATTTGTACACATTGGACTATTATTCAGCTATAAAACAGGATAAAGTTGAGTCTTTTGTCAATAAGTGGATGCAACTAGAGAACATACTCTTAAGTGAAATAAATCAGACCCACATATGCAAACATGATATTGTCTCCTTACTTTGAGAACCTGAAATAGAAAAATGGAATCTGAAGGGGGGGAGATCATGTATTCTAATTTTTTGTAGGGTTTTGATTGTGAGTATTCACAACAACTATTTGTTGCACTGTATCAAATGTTTTTACTACATCTATTGAAATGATCATGTGTTTTTTGTCATTAATTTTGTTAATAAATATTTTAGATTTATTGATTTATGTATATTGAACAGTCCCTGCATGAGTTGTACTTGGCATGGTATATAATCTTAATTATGATCTGCTGCATTCTATTTACCAGTATTTTAATGAGGTCTTTGGCCTGCTCTGTGTTCAATAGATTGCCCTCCGCTCTCTAGTATTTATTTTTCTCCCCTCCTCCTCTTCCTCCTTCCTCTCTCCTTTCCTACTCCCTCCACCTTCTCCTCCTACCCCTTCTTTTTAGTCTTAATGCAATCCTTCCCTGTTTTGGGTATAAGTGTAATGCTTGCTTCCAGGAATGAAAGTGGAAGTATTGCTTCCCTTTCAGTTTCAGTAAAGAATTTTACATCTAGTGACATTAGATCTTCCCTCATTTTATTATAGATTTAGCAGTCCATTCAAAGTCCATCAGGACCTGAGCTTTTCTTTTTTGGCAAGTGTTTTTTTTTTTTTTTTAATCACATCTTCAGTTTCTTTAAACTGATACTGGGTTATTTAGAATTTTTATATCTTCTTGAGTCAATTTTGGTAAGTTTTATTGCTTGGTGATTCTAGGAATTTGTCCATTTTTCTGTGTATCATTTCTGATTAGAATATAGTTTCTTAAAGTAGATATTGATGAGTTACTTTATGATGAAGATTTCTATGGTATTTATTGTGATTTTACTCTTTTGATTCCTAATTGTATAGATCCAAGCCTTTTTTTTTTTAAATAAGGTTGGCTGAGACTGTCAATTTTGTTTAATCTTTCAAAGAACCAACTTGTTTCATTGCTTCTTTGTATTGTTTTCTTAGTGTCAGTCCCATCAGTTTCTACTCTAATGTTCATAATTTCATCACTCATAGAAGTTATGGGGTTGAGTTTTTCTTGATTTTCTAGAAGCTTGATCTTCAACATTAAGTTATTTGGGCTTACTCTATTTTTATGATGAGAATTCACTGCTTATAGAAGTGCTGTCATTGCATTCCATATGTTCTGGTATGTTCTATTGCCATTACAATTTTTTAAAAATAATCTGTCTAATTTCTTTTTTAATTTCATCTGTTACCCATTCATTGTTCAGGAGGTTGTATTTAATTTTCCATGTGTTTATGATGATTTTGTTAATTTTTCTTCTTTTTTTAAATATTTTGTTATGGAAGGACCTACAGGGTGTTGAGGGTCTCACTACTGAATCGAACTCCTAGTGATCTGCCTGTTTTTAGCCTCCCACGAGCTGTGCATATAGGCATGCACTGCCACACCCATTCTCAATTGCTGTGTCAGCAGACCCCAGGCCCGTGCGCCTATGTGTGGGTGCTTTAATCCGCTGAGATATTGGCTGTCCCTAATTTGGTATTTCTTTTGCCTTTGATTTCCAATTTCATTACACTGTAGTCTGGTAATATACATGGGGTAATTTCAGTTGCTTTGCATTTACTTATCAAATTTCAATATGCAGTTGAGAAGAATGTGTATTGTGAGTTTTGGCATGTGTTATTTTTTTCATCCTTTTCTTTCAGTCTGTGAATTACTTTCCGAATTAAATGTTTCTTTTTTAAAAAAAAAAATGTATTTGGTTGTTTCAGGGTCTCACTATGTAGCTCAAACTCATAGTGATCCTCCTGTTTTCAGCTTCCACTGCAGTGGAATTCCAGGTGTGCGCCACTATGCCTGGACTCTGCAGGGTTGGCAGGGCATGTGGTTTCATGGTCCCTGCGCTTGCCTGAGCTTTCCTAAACAGGTGTTTTAGTCCACTGAGCTATCTCACTGGCCCCTTAAATGTGTTTCTTGTGTATAGCATTTTGCTGGATCTTCCTTTTTAATTTATTTTCTCATCTGTTTCTTTTAATTGATAAATTGAGTGTATTCATATTGATGAATACAACTGATATATATTGACTTCCATTTGTCATGTTAATTTATTGTTGTTTGTTCCCTTTTTATCACTTTTGCTGAATAATTTCCTTGCCTGGTGGATTCATTCTGTTAAATTTCATGGAGTTGTAGTCCTTGTATCTCTTTCTATACTGTCCTTCAGAAAATTTTGGAGTGCTGGTTTCCTCTTCATGAATTTCCTCAGCAGTTCTTTGTCTTGGAACATCCTTATTTCTCCATCAGTTTTGAAAGAGAGTTTTACAGGATATATCAGTCTGGTCTGGGTGTTGTTTTCTCTTATGCCTTGAAGTACTTCACTTTAAGTTCTTGACTTGCAGTCTTGTGTTGAGGAATTTCCCTCTATTCTGATAGTTTTTACTTTATAAATGACTTGTTTCTTTTCTGTAACAGCTTTTAATATTCTTTCGTATTGAAGTTCTAGAATCCAGATTATTATAATATGCCTTGATACATATATTTTTTGATCATGGCTAATGTATACCTCAATTAACTATGTCAAATACCTTTTTGATGCTTGAGAAGAATTTTGTCATTTCATCTGTGAACGGTTTTTGGTTTTTTATGTCATTTGTCCTATCTTCTGTTATTAATTGATTTTTATCAATATGATGATTTTCTTCAGTTCATCATTTAGCAGCTTTTAGATTTTTCATAGTCCCTTCTTATATTAAAGAAATCTTTCTTTTCCTGATCATTAAATGCAAAACTATCTTCTCTGTTTTGTGTTTGTCCTCACATTTGTTCTTTCTACTGAGTTTATTTTTAATGAAATTTTTAAACTCCTGGATATCTATTTGAATCTGTTTCATGGATTCCACTTCTTTCCTATGTTGGACATTTGAGATTTCCATCATTTTTCTAAGCACCTTTTTAAAAATCTATATCTGCTCCAGCGTCACTAAGCGTGTCTTGTATTGAGGTCATCATCTGAGTAGCTATCTGAGAAGTTATTTCTGATATGATTTTTTTCTACAGCCTCATTCATCTGCTTTGTTACTTCTGCTGTTAACTTCAGAGAGTGTAGGTGGGTTGTTTAATTGTTCCACCTCATTGTTCTCTAAGCTTGCCTTTGTTCACCTGACAGCCTGTGGTTGTATCTTTTTCTTTGCTTTCTCAATATTTATTTATTTACTTGCCTATGTTTAAGTCTTGGGTTGAAAAATATGGAGCACCTCACAAATTTTCGTGCCGTTCTTGTGCAGAGACCATGATAATCTTCTCTGTAACATTTAAATATTACATATATATTTTGTGAAATGAGCACATTAAAGGCTTTTACGTCAAAGAAAAATAGAGATAAATCATAACCCAGAATTCACTATAAGAGGTGTTAAAGTTGTTAAGAAGAAAAGTTATCATAACAAGTGAGATGGAAATTTGTAATTACACAAAGTAAACAGTGGTATGACAAATGACAGATATGGATAAGTATAAAATGTTTTTACTCCTTTTAAAATTCATTTAAATTACAATCAATGATCGGAAGAAAAATGTGTCATATGTATAAAGTTGTGGAGTGTATGAAATTGAGTACTATTCTCTGTTATTCTTTTGCAGATACTTCTCATTTCAGAAAAAGAATATTTCTTTCTGTTTTATTTTTGCTTCTTCTTTTTGCTTCTCTTCTCCTATTAAGCCCCTAGATCTTCTGAGGTATCGTACAGTACCTACAGAAGCACTGAGGTATTGGTAATTACTGATGTAAATCTTATACATTGAGGTTAAGTTTTAGCAATAAAATAAGTAACTTTATGATTATTATCTTGTTATAAACTGAGGCTGCCGTTGACTCCTCATAGCTGTATTTAAGTATTTTACTTCTAAACACACTTTTATAATTAAAAGGGAAG